CTTTGCGTATGCTTCTAAACTTCATCAGCATTAGTCGACCAGGCATTCATGTCTTTTTTGAACAGTTCAAGCACTCCTGTGGTCATTCTTTTTTGACAAGTAATAGTGTCTGTTGTTTTGGCAAAAATAAGCTTTAGTAGTCATAAAGCAATTCAATAACACTGTGAGTTTCTTCATTTCATGTAATGTATCCATCGTTTCTACAAAAATCTGTATGATGACTCTCAAATATAGTTAAAAACTGTTGTTTAAGAATTTAAGAAGACCTTCTAATTCTGACAAATTTGTAGTTGGGTACTTCGACACTACTATTACATATTTTGAATGATTGTTTAGTTTAGTTAAGAGAACAGAGACCCTAACTCGAGTTAAATCAACAAGTGATAAATTCAAACTTACGTTTGCCATAGAAATATCTACTCCTGCACGGACACTGTAAACATTTCACAACACTTTCACTATTTGTAGTTGTGATTGCTTGTTCTAAGCTTCTAATTAATAATCCTTATTAACGGGAGCCTCATTATTAAGATTTCGCTAATGTTTACATTCATATACGTTGTAGGTTAGAAATAGGAAACTGTTGTTTAAGAATTTAAGAAGACCTTCTAATTCTGACAAATTTGTAGTTGGGTACTTCGACACTACTATTACATATTTTGAATGATTGTTTAATTTAGTTTAGAGAACAGAGACCCTAACTCAAGTTAAATCAACAAGTGATAAATTCAAACTTACGTTTGCCATAGAAATATCTACTTCTGCACGGACACTAAACACTTCACAACACTCACTATTTGTAGTTGCAATTGCTTGTTCTAAGCTTCTAATTAATCCTTATTAACGGGAGCCTCATTATTAAGATTTCGATAATGTTTACATTCATATACGTTGTAGGTTAGAAATCGGAGGTGATGCAATCGGACATACGCTGTATATCAATCGGTTGGAAAAGCGGAGCTTTATGCCATATTGTAAAATTATAACATGAATAGGGGCTTACAATCATATTTTTATCGTATTTATAAACCGATGATGATTTCAATAAACTGATGAACGTCAAAGAATAATTGCAGCCTTTGGCGGTAGACATCGCAATCTGTAAACATAAAAAAACTACTAGATTCATCCGATTTTAATGGCTCTAGTCCGGTCCGTTTAGACAATGGAATATAAAAATTTTGAATCTTTTCGAAAATGTTGATTTTCACGCGTAAAAAAGGACAAATCTATTTGGCGTGATCCAATATTGGATGAAGCGATAGTCATGAAGCCGAAAATGGCACGTTTTTGACGTTCCGCTCGCACTCGCTCGCTTTCGTAATACGATCGTATCTACAATACCCCGCCTAACAGGAATCCGGGGATCTGGAGGGGAAATTCAAAATTGAAACTTCAAACTAAAAATGTGTGCATATCTTTGAATTTTCTAATCTGCCGAGTTTAAAAAATGCGATCGGGTAACGTGTCGTATGTCGGTTTAATCAGGAGACTTTGGTCTTTCGTTTTGCGAAAAAAAATCGTAGCTACGTCGCTCCGTAACGCAGGTCCGTATCGACGAAGACAAAGTACGCCGAAAAACGGTTGTCATCGGTACTTTTGAGGCGCTCAAAGTTTACTTTTTCGAAATTTGACGGTAATTCTGACGGTCAGAATCGTTTCGTCAGCTCATTATCGTTATTTTTCGATAGCTGTATAATTTTTACTCGCTCACGTACGGTAGTAATAAGCGAGGACAGAGCCGGATGACAAGATGACTTTTTCACGCGTCGAAAAGTAGCGTATTGTCGAGGAATTTTTAAAAAATCGAAACTTTTCAACGTAAACGAATAATAATGATGAAAATAGTATTAAAAGAGTGTCCGAAGCATGGACTTTCTCACGCAAAAATCGTCAGGTTCGTAGCTCCTTTATCTTCGGAGGAGATAGCTGATATACGGCGAAGCAGCGCGCTTTATACGCAAAAAAGTCATTCTTGACGACGTTCGAGGTTCGTTTATTCGAAACGGGTACCGTAAACGAAAAAACGTCTCTCCGCATAATTTGTAGCGCTCGCCGAGATGTACGAAACGCGACGCGCGAAATTCCTTTTCTCATCGGCATAAGGGAGATATCGTAGTTTTCAAGGCGATTCGTCGTTTTTGTCGCTTTTTTTTCGAACATTTCTAGAAAAAAAACCGAGACGCGGAACCGAACAGATTTAGCTAATAGGCACGTATTTTTCGTTTAGCTATCGAACGAGACCGATCTCGAGTCGATATTTCGATAAACGGCGAAACCAGTGTGAAATAACGCCGCGTACCGTCCGAAAAACGGTCGATTTTTCGACTTTACCGGCCGTTTTCGATCCGATCCGTTCGTCTCGCCGCGACGGCTCTCGCTCCCCCGTAAAGCGCCGAGTTTCTACTTTCCGAAACGGTACCTCTTTCCCTCCGAACGTACCGCGAACCTCCTAAAAAACCGCGAAAAGCGCGTCGACGTCGCACGGCCTGACTCTAACGTCACGTGACCTTCTAAGGAAAAACAATCGATCACCGCTTAATATAGTCGATAGCGCAGTTTCTGGCATGCTAACGCTATGCCAAATATTGTACGTTGATGTCTTTATTTAAAACCTCACGTAGCGCAGTTGCTGGTATGCTAATGCAATGCTAGCGATAACTATCTCTAATCATTTTTTATCCTTTGGCATCTTTGATCTGGTATCTGGTATCAGGTATCTGGTATCTGGTATCCGGTGTCTGGTATCTGGTATCTGGTATCAGGTATCTGGTGTCTGGTATCTGATATCTGGTATCTGGTATCCGGTATCCGGTGTCTGGTATCTGGTATCTGGTGTCTGGTATCTGATGTCTGGTATCTGGTATCCGGTATCTGGTGTCTGGCATCTGGTATCTGGTGTCTGGTGTCTGGTATCTGATGTCTGGTATCTGGTGTCTGGTGTCTGGTATCTGGTATCTGGTATCTGGTATCTGGTGTCTGGTATCTGGTATTTGGTATCTGTTATCTCTTTATCTGGTATCTGGTTTCTGGTGGCTGGTATCTGGTATCTCGTATCTGGTGTTTGGTATCTGGTATCTGGTGTCTGGTGTCTGGTATCTGGTATCTGGTATCTGGTTTCTGGTGTCTGGTATCTGATGTCTGGTATCCGGTATCCGGTGTCTGGTATCTGGTATCTGGTATCTGGTGTCTGGTATCTGATGTCTGGTATCTGGTATCCGGTATCTGGTGTCTGGCATCTGGTATCTGGTATCTGGTATCTGGTGTCTGGTATCTGATGTCTGGTATCTGGTGTCTGGTGTCTGGTATCTGGTATCTGGTATCTGGTATCTGGTATTTGGTATCTGTTATCTCTTTATCTGGTATCTGGTTTCTGGTGGCTGGTATCTGGTATCTGGTATCTCGTATCTGGTGTTTGGTATCTGGTATCTGGTGTCTGGTATCTGGTATCTGGTATCTCGTATCTGGTATCTGGTTTCTGGTGTCTGGTATCTGGTGTCTGGTATCTGGTGTCTGGTGTCTGGTATCTGGTATCTGGTATCTCGTATCTGGTATCTGGTTTCTGGTATCTGATGTCTGGTATCTGATGTCTGGTATCTGGTGTCTGGTGTCTGGTATCTGGTATCTGGTATCTGGTATCTGGTGTCTGGTGTCTAGTATCTGGTTTCTGGTATCTGTTATCTTTTATAAGTTATCAGTTTTCATTTTTAATTTTTCTATTTTAATTTTTAATTTTTAATTTTTAATTTTTAATTTTCAATTTTCAATTTTCAATTTTCAATTTTCAATTTTTAAATTTTTAAATTTTTCGATTTTTCGATTTTCGATTTTTCGATTTTTCGATTTTCGATTTTTCGATTTTTCGATTTTTCGATTTTTCGATTTTTCGATTTTTCGATTTTTCGATTTTTCGATTTTTCGATTTTTCGATTTTTCGATTTTTCGATTTTTCGATTTTTCGATTTTTCGATTTTTCGATTTTTCGATTTTTCGATTTTTCGATTTTTCGATTTTTCGATTTTTCGATTTTTCGATTTTTCGATTTTCGATTTTTCGATTTTTCGATTTTTCGATTTTTCGATTTTTCGATTTTTCGATTTTTCGATTTTTCGATTTTTCGATTTTTCGATTTTTCGATTTTTCGATTTTTCGATTTTTCGATTTTTCGATTTTTCGATTTTTCGATTTGTCGATTTGTCGATTTTTCGATTTTTCGATTTTTCGATTTTTCGATTTTTCGATTTTTCGATTTTTCGATTTTTCGATTTTTCGATTTTTCGATTTTTCGATTTTTCGATTTGATTTTTTGATTTTTGATTTTTAATTTTCAATTTTCAATTTTTCATTTTTCATTTTTCATTTTTCATTCTTCAGATTTCAGTTTTCATTTTTTAGTTTTCAGTTATCAGTTATTTGTTATCTGTTATCTGTTTTCTTTTATCTGTTACTTTTTATCTGTTATCTGTCATCTTTTATCTGTTATCTGTTATATGTTACCACCTGTTACCTGTTACCACCTTTTACCTGTTATCTGTTATTTTCCATATAGCATTGAAAATATCCTGTATACAATTGTATAACAGACTCAGATTTATGTGAGATGCCGGCAACGTCGCATGTGTTGTTGTTAATACCATACATGGCGTTATAAAATCTTCCATGTAGCAAATTGTATAGCAGACTTAGATTTATATGAGGATCGTCGCATAAATCTAGCTATAACACGACTTGCAAAAAAATGGCGCTTGACACTGACATATGTCAACCGTGTTCGTCTACGGATAGCAGTGGACTATGCTTTCTTCAGTGTATATGTTTTCTGTTTTGTAATGTCAATGTCATTGTCATAGGTAATTTTTTCTAACCTGGAAAATGAAATGTATTTTGTTTAAAATTAAAATTCAATAACTCCTATTGTGAGATGTGTGCATCTACAACATAATGAAAGGAAAAATTAAGATTCTGATAGTTAATTCCTAAATATCATAGTAAGGAAATCCGTAAAACTAAAAAAAAAGTAAACATAAACACCTTGAGAAAACTTCTTCCGTATCAAGTGGTTAAAGTGGAGTTTTAAAACAATTTTTGTTGAAAATAAGGCCGTTAGTTTACAAGCAGGTATGTAACTGAGCGATCCGCTAATGTGTGTGTATCTTGCTTATAAAAAATGCTGTATTTAGATATTGCTATTCACATGAGCTACCGTTCTTTGATAGGATATTTTCAAATTGAACTTTTGTCTTATTTTTACTATTTATTGCAGGAGAACAGTTGTTGAACCAGGTCCTGGTGCATACTTATGTAGTTGTCACTTTGTGGATGGGAAAAAAAGAAAATAGACCTACATTGTTTAGGTATAATAGGGAGAAGCAATTGAACTTTCCATCGCCAGAAAGAAGAACCCGTAAAAATAACAACAATGTGAAAATTGAACTCTATAATATGTTACTTCAAATTGGGCCCTTTTAAGGGATGTATGTAATAATTATGTGATCTGCAAAAATAAAAATAGTTTAGATACAACACATGGCATCATAAATTATTTTAATGTAGAGTTCAGTACTCGTATAGGTAACTTTCACTCCCCTGGCAGGCTTAATCTAAGCGATATCACAAATATGTCTATACCAAGTTACGATTATACTGTGCAAGAGTACTTATCTTACAAATTTTGACAAGTAATGGTGTCTGTTGTTTTGACAAGTCTTGGAAGTCACAAGTTCTTAAAGCAGCTACATTCTAAATCGATTTAGATCAAAATAAACAACTGCAGAGGCTGTGAAAGTCTTAGTAATTTTGAAAACTTTGGTAGTAGATATGATTATCAATGCTATTTTTCAGCGCTTTGCATATTCCTTCATCTGCTTGATAATATTTGCCAATCGAAGGGATAGATGACAAGTTTGTTTACTTATTTTCCATTTATACATACTACTCGGGTGAGATACTACTACTACAAGGTTTTTACAATATTTATGAGTTTGTTGGTGGTAAAGTTCTTCGTTTGGGAAAAATTCAACAGAAGCAGATGAACAATGCTCGCTTTATGATCTGGAGAAAAATGTGCTATCGCCTTAAAATAAAATTTCCTCTATTTTTTTTAATGTTGTATGATTATGATCAATCAATTAGAAACATGACATATAATAATAACATCTCAAAAAATTAGACCAGAAGCTTGAAATTATTAAGTACTATAGTTGTTGGACAGTAAGTAATAGTATCGCTTGAAAATCAAATTTTGTAATCTGTTTCCTCTGATTCAATAATGAATTTTTCTGTAATCTATGATTAAGATCAGTCTTAGAAACAGGACAGATGTGAGTATCCTTGAAATTAGACATATAATAATAACATCTTTAAAAACAGAATAGAAATTTGAAATCATCAAGTGCTATAGTTTTTTGACAAGTAATGGTGTCTGTTGTTTTGACAAGTCTTGGAAGTGACAAGTCCTTAAAGCAGCTACATTCTAAATCGAAGTACATACATTCTGCATTGAGATCAAAATAAACAACTGCAGTGGCTGTGAAAGTCTTAGTAATTTTGTAAACTTTGGTAGTAGATATGATTATCAATGCTATTTTTCAGCGCTTTGCATATTCCTTCATCTGCTTGATAATATGTGCCACTGTTAGCCAGCTAATAGGTCTACATATTTAGACAAATTGAACTGAGGGTCAAGACTGAACTCTTACTGAACTTCATAGAAGTGACTGACTACTTACGTTTGCAATAGAAACACATAAACTGTAAACACTTCACACAACACTTTCACTATTTGTAGCTGCGATTGCTTGTTCTAAGCTTCTAATTAATCCTTATTAACGGGAGCCTCATTATTAAGATTTCGATAATGTTTACATTCATACATTGTAGGTTAGAAATCGGAGGTGATGCAATCAGACATACGCTTTATATCAATCGGTTGGAAAAGCGGAGCTTTATGCCATATTGTAAAATTATAACATGAATAGGGGCTTACAATCATATTTTTATCGTATTTATAAACCGATGATGATTTCAATAAATTGATGAACGTCAAAGAATAATTGCAGCCTTTGGCGGTAGACATCGCAATCTGTAAACATAAAAAACTACTAGATTCATCCGATTTTAATGGCTCTAGTCCGGTCCGTTTAGACAATGGAATATAGAAATTTTGAATCTTTTCGAAAATGTTGATTTTCACGCGTAAAAAAGGACAATGGTATTCGGCGTGATCCTATATTCGATGAAGCGACCAACATAAAGCCGAAAATGGCACGTTTTTGACGTTCCGCTTGCACGCGCTCGCTTTCGTAATACGATCGTGTCTACAATACCCCGCCTAACAGGAATCCGGGGATCTGGAGGGGAAATTCAAAATTGAAACGTCAAACTAAAAATATCTGCATATCTTTGAATTTTCTAATTTGCCGAGTTTAAAAAATGCGATCGGGTAACGTGTAGTATGTCGGTTTAATCAGGAGACTTTGGTCTTTCGTTTTGCGAAAAAAAATCGTAGCTACGTCGCTCCGTAACGCAGGTGCGTATCGATGAAGACAAAGTACGCCGAAAAACGGTTGTCATCGGTACTTTTGAGGCGCTCAAAATTTACTTTTTCGAAATTTGACGGTAATTCTAACGGTCAGAATCGTTTCGTCAGCTCATTATCGTTATTTTTCGATAGCTGTATAATTTTTACTCGCTCACGTACGGTAGTAATAGGCGAAGACAGAGCCGGATGACAAAGTGACTTTTTCACGCGTCGAAAAGTAGCGTGTTGTCGGGCAATTTTTAAAAAATCGAAACTTTCAAACGACAAGGGATAAAGGAAAAAAAAAGACGCTATCTTAGTGTCCGATGTCCGGGCTTTCTCACGCAAAAATCGTCAGGTTCGTAGCTCCTTTATCTTCGGAGGAGATAGCTGATATACGGCGAAGCAGCGCGCTTTATACGCAAAAAAGTCATTCTTGACGACGTTCGAGGTTCGTTTATTCGAAACGGGTACCGTAAACGAAAAAACGTCTCTCCGCATAATTTGTAGCGCTCGCCGAGATGTACGAAACGCGGCACGCGAAATTCCTTTTCTCTTCGGCATAAGGGAGATATCGTAGTTTTCAAGGCGATTCGTCATTTTTGTCGCTTTTTTTTCGAACATTTCTAGAAAAAAAACCGAGACGCGGAACCGAACAGATTTAGCTTATTGGTACGTATTTCTCGTTTAGCTATCGAACGAGACCGATCTCGAGTCGATATTTCGATAAACGGCGAAACGAGTGTGAAATAACGCCGCGTACCGTCCGAAAAACGGTAGATTTTTCGACTTTACCGGCCGTTTTCGATCCGATCCGTTCCTCTCGCCGCGACGGCTCTCGCCCGCCCGTAAAGCGCCGAGTTTCTACTTTCCGAAACGGTACCTCTTTCCTTCCGGGCGTTTCGCGAACCTCCTAAAAAACCGGAAAAACCGCGTCGACGTCGCCCGCCCAAAATTTCTAACGTCACGTGACCTCTTCCTTAAAACAATCGATCACCGCTTAATATAGTCGACTAGCGCAGTTTCTGGCATGCTAACGCTATGCCAAATATTGTACGTTGATGTCTTTATTTAAAACCTCACGTAGCGCAGTTGCTGGTATGCTAATGCAATGCTAGCGATAACTATCTCTAATCATTTTTTATCCTTTGGCATCTTTGATCTGGTATCTGGTATCAGGTATCTGGTATCTGGTATCTGGTATCTGGTATCCGGTATCCGGTGTCTGGTATCTGGTATCTGGTATCAGGTATCTGGTGTCTGGTATCTGGTATCTGGTATCCGGTATCCGGTGTCTGGTATCTGGTATCTGGTATCTGGTGTTTGGTATCTGATGTCTGGTATCTGGTATCCGGTATCTGGTGTCTGGCATCTGGTATCTGGTGTCTGGTGTCTGGTATCTGATGTCTGGTATCTGGTGTCTGGTATCTGGAATCTGGTATCTGGTATCCGGTATCTGATGTCTGGTATCTGGTGTCTTTATCTGGTATCTGGTATCTGGTGTCTGGTATCTGGTGTCTGGTGTCTAGTATCTGGTGTCTGGTGTCTGGTATCTAATATCTGGTATCTGGTATCTGGTATCTGGTGTCTGGTATCTGGTATTTGGTACCTGGTATCTGATATCTAATCTCTGGTGTTTGGTGTCTGATGTCTGGATCTGATATCTGGTGTCTGGTATCTGGTATCTGGTATTTGGTATCTGGTGTCTGGTGTTTGGTGTCTGGTATCTGGTATCTGGTGTCTGGTATCAGGTATCTGGTATGTGGTATTTGGTATCTGGTATTTGGTATCTGGTATTTGGTATCTGGTATCTGATATCTAATATCTGGTATTTGGTGTCTGATGTCTGGATCTGATATCTGGTGTCTGGTGTCTGGTATCTGGTATCTGGTATTTGGTATCTGGTGTCTGGTGTCTGGTGTCTGGTATCAGGTATCTGGTATCTGGTATCTGGTATCTGGTATTTGGTATCTGGTATCTGATATCTGGTGTCTGGTATCTAGTGTCTGGTGTCTGGTATCAGGTATCTGGTATCTGGTATTTGGTATCTGGTATTTGGTATCTGGTATCTGATATCTAATATCTAGTGTTTGGTGTCTGATGTCTGGATCTGATATCTGGTGTCTGGTATCTGGTATCTGGTATCTGGTATTTTGTATCTGGTATCTGGTGTCAGGTATCTGGTATCTGGTATTTGGTATCTGGTATTTGGTATCTGGTATCTGATATCTAATATCTGGTGTTTGGTGTCTGATGTCTGGATCTGATATCTGGTGTGTGGTGTCTGGTATCTGGTATCTGGTATTTGGTATCTGGTATCTGGTATCTGGTGTCTGGTATCAGGTATCTGGTATCTGGTATTTGGTATCTGGTATTTGGTATCTGGTATCTGATATCTAATATCTGGTGTTTGGTGTCTGATGTCTGGATCTGATATCTGGTGTCTGGTATCTGGTATTTGGTATCTGGTGTCTGGTGTCTGGTGTCTGGTATCTGGTGTCTGGTATCAGGTGTCTGGTATCTAGTATTTGGTATCTGGTATCTGATATCTGGTATCTGATATCTGGTGTCTGGTATCTAGTGTCTGGTATCTGGTATCTGGTATTTGGTATCTGGTATCTGGTATTTGGTATCTGGTGTCTGGAATCTGATATCTGGTGTCTGGTGTCTGGTATCTGATATCTGATATCTGGTATCTGGTGTCTGGTGCCTGATGTCTCGTGTCTGGTGTCTGGTATCTGGTATCTGATATCTGGTATTTGGTATTTGGTATCTGGTGTCTAGTGTCTGGTATCTGGTATCCGGTATCTGGTATCAGGTATCTGGTATCTGGCATCTGGTATCTGGTAACTGGTACTTGGTATTTGGTATCTGATATCTGGTGTCTGGTATCTGGTATCTGGTGTCTAGTATCTAGTATTTGGTATCTGGTATCTTATGTCTGGTATCTGGTGTCTTGTGTCTGGTATCTGGTATC